GGGGTATGAAGTCTTCAACTCTAAGTGTGGATTTGTCTGTTTTTTCTTTCAGTTCCAGCAGTTTTTCTTTCAGGTGTTTTCCAGCTGTGCTGGTGGTGTACAGACACTCAGTTTATACACTACTTTCTCAGTAGATAGGCCCCATTATTATTGTGTAATGTCTCTCTTTGTCCCTGGTAAAATTCTTTGCTCTAAAGTCTACTTTATCTGATATTAATATAGCCACTCCTTCCTTTGACTGATATTTTAAAGTCCTTCTTTAAAATAGAAAATGGGTGATGAGGATTCTAGTTAAATACTTTTTAAAGATACAGTAAACCCTTAGTTATCCATAATAAAAAAGAACCTAAAATTGCAAAGACAAGTAGCACTGAATTCACTTATTTTCCTCACTATGTGTCTTCTTGTGCCTGAACAAATTAATAAAAAAAACAAGTGATCCTAGTAACTTCAATATGCCTGATGTAAGGCTGGCTTGTACCAATCCTTGCAGAATTTATGCCAAAGAGCAGAACTGTGGTTAGAGGTCTTCTAATTTCTGTTTCGTAGGAACAGTTCTCCCCAGCCTCTTAGAATTTTGCTGGATTTCCTGAGGCCTCAAATTCATAAAACATCCTAATATAGAATTTTAATCCTATTTCCAAATTTAATTGGAAGTATAGCCACAGAGACACACCAACAAAACTGAAAGAGGATATTTATCCAGCAATTTTAAACTTGTGGCCTTTTACTGGACCACTTCTGATATGTGCCTTGAATTAATATTTTTATAAATTCTATAATTATCTAGTACATTTTGTTATTTCTGTTTCTTATTTTTTATTAAAAGAGCCAACTAAAAAATGTAGATGTTTAGAATATACTGTAATTTTTGTGGCCTTACTTGGGCATTTCTTCATTTTGTAACTTAACAGGAATCCTAAAAGAAATGGCATTAGCCAAGGTCTGTTTTGATGGTTCAGGAATCTACAGTGATCCCGGAATCTACTGAAAACAGTGTGCCCTGGGATGACTGAATTCATATTACCTGCTTATTTTGGCCTTTATCTAGAAAGAAATAGAATCCAGGTATTTTCCTCTTACGCTGGAACAGCACCCGGGAGAGTCAACACCAGAAGTATGATTGCTTCCTACCCACCCCCATGAAGCACAGGCTAGGCCGCCGATCTATCCACTCAAATAAACCATTTAACAAAACCAAAGTGTATACCAACATGTCCTTCATGTAAATAATAGCAGGGGAGCTTGGCAGACAAAGTAGAGTTGAAAAGTAGACATTTTATCATCTTTTCTGGAAAGCCAAAAGCTTTCTCAAAATTCACTTGAAAGCTGATGCCACAAATGTAGAATATAAATACCAGCAACCCACGTTCTGGCCCTTCAAGATAGGGGTTTTTGGGGGAATCTAGGTATTCAAGAGATTTAGATCTGAATTATGGTAGAAGAAAATGTTGGGAAAGTAAATGGCTTTGCTAAATTGAATGCTATATAGTGAGTGGAAGACTGAAAAAAAATCAATACACAACACAACTGATGTTCATTCTATCCCACTTTTCACTCACTGGAGGCACCAGCCCAAGACAGCACAGTGGTCAGAGAGAAGGATGGGATTATGCATGGGTTGGTCATTCGTTACCACCCTTGTATTGGCACGGTCTGGCAAAGCCATATGGAAAGTGGTGTGACGGGGCTCAAGCCCTGAAGTCATGGCATCTGTGGTCAGGATTAATAGAGGCTTTCACATGTTATCTGTTGCTACTTTAAAAAGAATAAAACAGAGTCCTTCTGAGGGTTGAAAGATAAATATTAAAAGAGCAAATGCTACAGAAATCTCATTAACTGAATAGTTAGGACCACTTCTCTTACACCACTGATAGATTAATTTGAAACAAAGTTACAGTCATTGTTTTGGTTTGGTTTAAATCGGTAATACATTCCCATGGGTTAAAAATCAAATAACGAAAAGGTATACAATGAAAGTCTTGTTCCCACCACATCCTCTGGTTACTCTGACCCCACCCACCACCCTACTGATACACTGGCATTGCTTTTGTTATTCCTCCTAAGATGCCCTTTGCAAATATGACTAAGTTATTATAACTCCCCCTCTTTTTACACAAAAGGAAACATAAAAGACCATTCAGCGCACAGTCTCTGAAGCCAGACTGCTCATGTGCAGACCCCAGTTCTCCCACTGGCTGGCTGTGTGTCTTTGAGAAATTTTTGTAACCACATAGTGCCTCAGTTTCCTCATCTGGATAATGAGGACAATGATAGCATCTGTCTCATATGATAATTTGAGGGTTAGATGAACAGATACATGTGTGGGGCATGTGGGTTAGGGCCTGGCACACAGTGAGGCCTCTCTATATTATATGCGGCACTGTCATCATATCTGCAACATGCAGAAAATAATAGTACTTACCCTCCCCAGGTTATTGTGAGGTTGAAAAGGACAGGCCTCACACTTGATAAGCACTATTATATTTCATCAAATCCAAGATGCCATGGATTGTAAGACACTTCATTATTTTATGCACTAAGAAAGAAAAACCATTCCAATTAAATTATGACATGTCTGTGACTAGAATAGATCCTCATTTCAAAAATGTTAGAGTGAAAAAATGCACATCTTAGATTGATGAAATATGGGATACAAGTGTTAGTTGTTATACTCTTTTTTCACTTAAAAATACATCTTGGGTATTGTTCTGTATTGATATAAAGAGAGCTTCTACTTTCTTTTTTTAATGGCTATATAGTAATCTGTTGGGTGACTAAGCCATAAATTATTTAACCAGTGTCTTATAAGTTTCCAGACTGTTGCTGTTACAAACAATACCGCAATGAATAACCTGAGAGACATGTCATTTTGCAAGTCTGCTAGTGTATCTGTGGGATAAATTCCCAGAATTAGCATTGCTGGGTCAAAGAATATATGTGTCTGAAATTTCGACAGGTGTTCTAAGCTCAAATTTAAATTGCCCAGCTGTATCAAGAATGTTTGAAAAGGACTGACTTAATGAATGAAGAGAGTCGAATTAGAAGAGTCCTATGGCAAAGGTACGGGGGGAAACATTCATACACTCCTAGGGGCCATGCACATTTGGCCAGACTTTTGAAATGCATGTTGGCATATCTCTTAAATTCTACCTCTAGAAAGCATTCTTACAGAAATACTAGCACAAGTTGCCCAGGCGTATGTTAGAGCAACAGCAAGCACTTGTGGCAGACGTAGCACAAAGTGCCTTACAGATATGAATGCATCTAGTCCACACAAGGGAGGGACTATAGTTTTATAGCTCTGGAGACATAAGACCAGAGGGGGTAAAGCTGTCAGCTGCAGAGATAGGCCTGGACCAAGCAGCCTGGGACCAGTCTGTGCTCTTGAGCATTACACAAATAAAATATTTGAAAAGAGTGAAAAATTTTGAGAATTCTGAGTGTCCCAAAGTGAGTTAGTTAATATTATTTTAAATTCACACTGTGAGAAACAATATACCATGATAATGAAATAAATCTTTACATAGCAACCTCAACATGTGTCCAACATGTGCCTTGTTAAAAAGAATTAAAAAGCAGGCTGCAGGGCATTTTGCACAGCATGATCATGTACCTGTCAATATATATGAGTATGTGACATATCAATCAGATAGGTAGATAGCTATCAACGAGTCTGGAAGGGTAATTAAACAATTAAGGATATTCATTCCCAATACCTCTGGATGTGACAGAGTGGTCAGGATGGAGGACTTTACTTCTGTGTATTTCCAGATTATTTGAATCTTTTTAATGATGAGCATGTTCTATACAGAGCTTGTTGTTAAGAGGCATTTAATTTCAGACTCCGAAAATTTTACTTCATTCCTACACTAACGTCATGAGGAGCGCCAAAAGTGTTTGGGTATAAATGACACTGGCCCCATAAATTAAAAACGAAAGAACCAACCCAGATTCAAAGATAAACAGCACTGGTGCCATACTATTGTATCACTTGGAAAATGATTCAGCACGATGATCATCTACTGAAGTCACTCAGCAAATACTAATACTCAAAAATTATTTTTAAAAATAGTTGTTTTCTTTAGCACTTTCAGTATTATTTCCTCCATTTCTAAGTCATTTTTACTCCTTAGAATCTTCCCAAGCTGCCTTGAATCTCTCTCTAAACACTACCAAGTAAAATTATTATTAAAGTAAAATGTAAGATATTTTATACCAGGATGTGCCAGGTGTCTGAATGATCCTAAAGGGAATCCCTTGTTTGAAAGGGCCAGTCTAGGGTGAGGTGGCGGAGGAGGCCTGGGTGGTTGCAGGGGAGCAGCTCAGCCCCACACCTGACAGTGCAGCCCCCGTGGAAGCCTGTCCTGCCCCTGGGCCCCTCCCTGAAGGTGGCGCCTGCTAAGCTCAAGGCTTCTCAGGAAGACCTGCTCTCCAGCAAGGTGGAAGGTCACTCAGCACTGCTTTATCTTTGGAGAAAGTCATTTGAAATCATCTAAAGGGCATTGGTGAGGAGTCTATTCTCCACCAGGAAAGCTGAGAAGGGAAGGACTGGTTTCATCTTCTCATACAGGAGACTCTTAGCCGGAAGCCCGTATGTCAGTACCAGACTGTAAGGTTGCCCTCTGGCTTCTGCCTCGGGATAAAGTTCCCATCAGGAGACCCTAGGTTTTCTAGCATCTTCCTCTTTTTATTTCCCTATTTGCGCTCTTGGAGGCATTTGGCCTGACCTCCTCTTCACCTTAGCTTTTTTATTTTCGGTCCCATTCTTCTGCTGAGTTTTGTGAAATATGAGGCATTTGGAAATCTTTTTTTAGGATGAAAACCTACCTTCTCTCCCGTTTGCCTTAAAATGTGTTGGGGACCCTGTATTACTGTCCTATCACTCACTGTACCAATTATTATCCTGTCCTGCTCTCTTGGAGGTGCTTGGAAGGGGTTTTTTTGAACTGATTCGATTCCTGAACTTCTGAACTCCCTTTACATCCAGAAGCCACAGGAATCTGCAGTCGCTGACTTGATGGGAGTCCCTAAGCTGGAAGCTGTATCCAGGGCTTTACAGCAAGAAGGAACAGACCCAGCCATCTTCGAGGAGATCTCTCCTGCCACTGCTCATCCTTACCGGTGAGTATTTGCTATTGGCGCCTTGGTGTTTGTGCTACCTTTTCTTTTTTCTCTCCTTTTCTTTATTTTCCTTACCAAAGGAAAGGTTTGATTGTCTTGATTGTCTTGATTGTCTTGATTGTCTTGATTGTCTTCTGCTTCACAGTATTTAAGACATCTGTTCTTTTCAGCCGTCCTTCACTCGTGATGTAAGGGGGCAAATATGGAGCCTGGGAGAAGCCTGCTTCCTGGTCCTGTGTCATCTCGAGGTGCACTTGCTGGTGGAGTGCCCGGCCTCAGGGCACGGCAGTCACCTCCCCAGGGGCGGCTCCTCCAGCCCCCAGCTCTCTACTCCTTTCGCCATAGCCCTTGCGTCTCCTGCTACGCTCTGCATCTCACCCTGAGCCCTTTGCTTAGGAAGTTCTGCAAGGATGTCTGCCTCCGTGTGTTCAGCTGGAATTAAAGCACCATTTCCTGGACCGAATCTTTCTGTGAAATATGTAACTTCCTGGATTACATCACTTCCATGGAGTCCATCATCTCACTGGGCCCGGGGAACCAACTTCCCCATTTGATTTGTCCTTGTCATCTACAGGTTACTTGGAAGTCTCCTACAAGTTACTTGGAAGTCACTTCATGACTTTAGTCTCTGATTATGGTATTGTGCACATCAAAATGTGCTAAATTGATGTTAAGAGTTCTTATCATAAATAAAGAAAGAAAAAAGGGATGTTAAGGAAACTTTGGTACGTGATGGGTGTCTAGTATCTTGTTTCTGGTGAAGGTATCATGAGGCTTTGCATATGTCCAAACCAATGTAATTGTACATATTAAATATGTGTAGTTCTTTGTATATCAATTATGCTTCAAAAGATTTTAAACTTCAACTTGTATATGTTCTGCAAGAAAACCTTTGTCCTACAGGGATGAATACAAGAGGATTTCTTTCCTTTAGGAGAATATTCTTGGTAGATTTTTTTGCATTTCTCAACCAACTATTTTGAACATTGTGCACACACACATTCAGTGGGCAAAATAAATAATATTCATATTTTGTTAGTGCTTTTTCATTACCCTGAATTTTTTAAGTTATACTTCAGTGATCTGTCCCCCATACTGGAGTTGCTCCTGGGTTGGAGGAAGGAGCCATGGTTTGTCACTGATCTATGATGGGTGACGGTAAAAGCTTCCCCACTCATCATTTATGTCCTAGGCTACCTCTTTCCTAAGCACCAAAATCCGTACTGATCTCTCTTTTTTAAATTTTATTTTGGTATCATTAATGTACAATTACATGAGCAACATTATGGTTACTAGACTCCGCCCATTATCAAGTCCCCACCACATACCCCATTACAATCACTGTCCATCAGCGTAGTAAGATGCTATAGAATCACTACTTGCCTTCTCTGCATTATACGGCCTTCCCCGTGCCCCTCCCCACATTATGTGAGCTAATCATAATGCCCCCTTTTCCCCCTTATCCCTCCCTTCCCACCCATCCTCCCCAGTCCCTTTCCCTTTGGTAACTGTTAGTCCATTCTTGGGCTCTGTGAGTCTCCTGCTGTTTTGGTCCTTCAGTTTTTTCTTTGTTCTTATTCTCCACAGGTGAGTGAAATCATTTGATACTTGTCTTTTTCCACCTGGCTTATTTCACTGAGCATAATACCCTCTAGCTTCATCCACATTGTTGCAAATGGTAGGATCTGTTTTCTTCTTATGGCTGAATAATATTCCATTGTGTATATGTACCACCTGTTCTTTATCCATTAATCTATTGATGGACACTTAGGTTGCTTCCATTTGTTAGCTATCGTAAATAGTGCTGCGATAAACATAGGGGTACAGATGTCTTTTTCAAACTGGGCTCCTGCATTCTTGGGGGTAAATTCCTAGGAGTGGAATTTCTGGGTTAAATAGTTTTTTTATTTTGAGTTTTTTTGGGAACCGCCATACTGCTTTCCACAATGGCTGAACTGGCTTACATTCCCACTATCAGTGTAGGAGGGTTCCCCTTTCTCCACATCTGTGCCAATATTTGTTGTTGTTTGTCTTGGATGGTGTCCATTCTTATTGGTTTGAGGTAATATCTCATTGTGGTTTTAATTTGCATTTCGCTGATGATTAGTGACGTGGAGCATCTTTTCATGTGCTTGTTGGCCACTGAATTTCTTCTTTGGAGAACTGTTTGTTCAGCTCCTCTGCCCATTTCCTAATTGAATTATTTGCTTTTTGTTTGTTGAGGTGCATGAGCTATTTGTATATTTTGGATGTCAACCCTTTATCAGATCTGTCATTTATGAATATATTCTCCCATACTGTAGGATGCATTTTTGTTCTATTGATGGTGTCCTTTGCTGTACAGAATCTTTTCAGCTTGGTATATTCCCACTTGTTTATTTTTGCTTTTGTTTCCCTTGCCTGGGGAGATATGTTCATGAAGGAGTTGCTCATGTTTACATCCAAGAGATTTTTGCCTATGTTTTTTTCTAAGAGTTTTATGGTTTCATGACTTACATTCAAGTCTTTGATACATTTTGAGTTTACTTTTGCGTGTGGGGTTAGACAATGATCCAGTTTCATTCTCTTACATGTAGCTGTCCAGTTTTGCCAACACCAGCTGTTGAAGAGGCTGTCGTTTCTCCATTGTATGTCTATGGCTCCTTTATCATATATTAATTGACTGTATATGTTTGGGTTAATATCGGGACTCTCTATTGTGTTCCACTGGTCTGTGGCTCTGTTCTTGTGCCAGTATCAAATTGTCTTGATTACTGTGGCTTTGTAGTAGAGCTTGAAGTTGGGAAGCGAGGTCCCCCCTGCTTTATTTTTCCTTCTCAGGATCGCTTTGGCTATTCGGTGTCTTTTGTGGTTCCATATGAATTTTAGAACTATTTGTTCCAGTTTGTTGAAGAATACTGTTGGTATTTTGATAGGGAATGCATTGAATCTGTAGATTGCTTTAGGCAGGATGGCCATTTTAACAATATTAATTCTTCCTAGCCAAGAATCATGGGATGAATTTCCATTTATTAGTGTCTTCTTTAATTTCTCTTAAGAGTGCCTTGTAGTTTTCAGGGTATAGGTCTTTCAACTTCCTTGGTTAGGTTTATTCCTCAGTATTTTATTCTTTTTGATGCAATTGTGAATGGAATTGTTTTTGTGATTTCTCTTTCTGCTAGCTCATCGTTAGTGTATAGGAATGCAACAGATTTCTGTGTATTAATTTTGTATTCTGCAACTTTGCTGAATTCAGATATTCATTCCAGTCGTTTTGGAGTGGATTCTTTAGGGTTATTTATGTACAATATCATGTCATCTGCAAATACTGACAGTTTGACTTCTTCCTTACCAATCTGGATGCCTTGTATTTCTTTGTGTTGTCTGATTGCCATGGCTAGGACTTCCAGTACTATGTTGAAGAAAAGTGGAGAGAGCTGCTTTTATCCCTGTCTTGTTCCTGATCTTAGGTGGAAAGCTTTCACCTTCTCACTGTTAAGTATGATGTTGGCTGTGGGTTTGTCATATATGGCCTTTATTATGTTGAGGTACTTGCCCTCTATTCCCATTTTGCTGAGAGTTTTTATCATGAATGGATGTTGAATTTTGTCAAATGCTTTTTCAGCATCTATGGAGATGATCATGTGGTTTTTGTCTTTCTTTTTGTTGATGTGGTGGATGATGTTGATGGATTTTCGAATGTTGTACCATCCTTGCATCCCTGGGATGAACCCCACTTGGTCATGGTGTATGATCCTTTTGATATACTGTTGAATTCTGTTTGCTAATATTTTATTGAGTATTTTTGCATCTACATTCATCAGGGATATTGGTCTGTAATTTTCTTTTTTGGTGGGGTCTTTGCCTGGTTTTGGTATTAGGGTGATGTTGGCTTCATAGAATGAGTTTGGGAGTATTCCCTCTTCTTCTATTTTGTGGAACACTTTAAGGAGAATGGGTATTATGTCTTCTCTGTGTGTCTGATAAAATTCCGAGGTAAATCCGTCCGGCCCCGGGGTTTTGTTCTTGGGTAGTTTTTTGATTACTGTTTCAATTTCTTTGCTTGTAATTGGTTTGTTTAACTTTTGTGTTTCTTCCTTGGTCAGTCTTGGGAGGTTGTATTTTTCTAGGAAGTTGTCCATTTCTTCTAGGTTTTCCAGCTTGTTGGCATATAGGTTTTCATAGTAGTCTTTAATAATTCTTTGTATTTCTGTGGAGTCTGTCATGATTTTTCCATTCTCATTTCTGATTCCGTTGATGTGTGTTGATTCTCTTTTTCTCTTAATAAGTTTGGCTAGAGGCTTATCTATTTTGTTTATTTTCTCAAAGAACCAGCTCTTGTTTCATTGATTTTTGCTATTGTTTTATTCTTCTCAATTTTGTTTATTTATTCTCTGATTATGTTCCTCGTTCTGCTGACTTTGGGCCTCATTTGTTCTTCTTTTTCCAGTTTCAATAATTGTGACTTTGGACTATTCATTTGGGATTGTGCTTCCTTCTTTAAATAGGCCTGGATTGCTATACACTTTCCTCTTAGAACTGCCTTTGCTGAGTCCCACAGAAGTTGGGGCATTGTGCTATTGTTGTCATTTGTCTCCATATATTACTTGATCTCTGTTTTAATTTGGTCATTGATCCACTGATTATTTAAGAGAATGTTGTTAAGCTCCCATATTTTTGTGAGCCTTTTTGTTTTCTTTGTACAATTCATTTCTAGTCGTATAACTTTATGATCTGAGAAGTTGGTTGGTAGAATTTCAATGTTTTAGAATTTACTGAGGCTCTTTTTGTGGCCTAGTATGTGGTCTATTCTGGAAAGTGTTCCATGTGCACTTGAGAAGAATGTGTATCCTGCTGCTTTTGGGTGTAGAGTTCTGTAGATGTCTGTTATGTCCATCTGTTCTAGTGTGCTGTTCAGTGCCTCTGTGTCCTTACTTATTTTCTGTCTGGTTGGTCTTTCCTTTGGAGTGAGTTGTGTGTTGAAGTCTCCTAAAATGAATGCATTGCATTCTATTTCCTCCTTTAATTCTGATAGTGTTTGTTTCATGTATGTCGGTGCTCCTGTGTCAGGTTCGTAGATATTTACAATGGTCATATCTTCTTGTTGGACTGACCCCTTTATCATTATGTAATGTCTCTTGTTACTTTCTTTGTTTTGAAATCTATTTTGCCTGATACAAGTACTGCAACACCTGCTTTTTCCCCCTATTAGTTGCATGAAATGTTTTTTTCCATCCCTTGACTTTTAGTCTGTGTTATGTCTTTGGGTTTGAGGTGAGTCTCTTGTAAGAAGCATATAGATGGGTCTTGGTTTTTTATCCATTCTATTACTCTGTGTCTTTTGATTGGTGCATTCAGTCCATTTACATTTAGAGTGATTTTCAATAGATATGTACTTATTGTCATAGCAGGCTTCAGATTCATGGTTACCAAAGGTTCAATGGTAGCTTCTTTACTCTCTAACTGTCTAACTTTAACTCACTTATTATGCTATTATAAATACAGTCTGATGATTCTTTATTTATCTTGCTTGTTATTCTTCCTCCTCCACTCTTTATATGTTAGGTGTTTTATTCTGTACTCTTTTGTGTTTTCCTTGACTGCTTTTGTGGATAGCTGATTTTATTTTTTGCCTTTAGTTAGCATTAGGTTGGTCTGCTTTCTTTGCTCTGATTTTACTTTGTCTGGTGACATCCATGTAGCCTTAGGAGTGCTTCCATCTAGAGCAGTCCCTTTAGAATACCCTGTAGAGGTGGTTTGTGGGAGGTAAATTACCTCAACTTTCGCTTGTGTGGAAATTGTTTAATCCCTCCTTCAAATTTAAATGATAATCATGCTGGATACAGTGTTCTTGGTTCAAGGCCCTTCTGTTTCATTGCATTAAATACATCATACCACTGCCTTCTGGCCTGTAAGGTTTCTGTTGAGAAACCTGATGATGGCCTGATGGGTTTTTCTTTGTAGGTGATCTTTTTTCTCTCTCTGGCTGCTTGTAATATCCTGTCCTTGTCTTTGATCTTTGCCATTTTAATTATTATATGTCTTGGTGTTGTC